TTACTTGTTTAGTTGGCCATTACAGAAGTGTGTCGTCCTTGGCCGCGTCGAGTAGCCTCCGCCAGTCAGCCCCGATTAGTTGCTTTCTGACGCCAGTTGCTAGTACCGAGCGCCCCCAAATCGTTGGTCACCTGGTCCTTCCACCGAAGATGCGGATGTCCTCTACCGCGTTTTCCACCTGCGGGTACCGAATCAAATACCTTTCTAGCCGGAGCACTTTCTTCCATTCGCACGGCATGACCAAGCCAGCGTAGCCGCTGAATTTTTATGCGCTTAACTATATCAATGTCGCGGTATAGCTCATACAGCTCATCGTTCCATCTAATTCGATACTCGTCGCCAACGCGTAAGGGACCATAGATCTTCCGAAGTAACATTTGTTGGCAAGAGTAATCTTCGTTGAATCTCTAGGCTGACGTCATTTTTGGTGTTTAAGCTGGTTCCTAAATAAACAAAGTCTTTCACAACTTCTAACTTATAATTGTCAACAGTGACGTAGGTCCCAAGACGCTCAGGAGATTTGTTTGTTGACAGAAAGTACTTTGTTTTGTCCTCATTTACCACAAGACCCATTTGCTTTGCTTGTTTTTCTAAGTTGGAAAATGCCGCACTGACGATGCGGATGTTCAGACCAATGATATCAATATCGTCGGCATACGCAAGCAGCATTACACTTTTGTAGAATATTGTGCCAGTACGGTTTAAATCTGCTGCTCGAATTATCGTTTCCAACATTATGTTAAAGTAGTCACACGACAAGGAGTCACCCTGTCTGAAACCTCGTTTGATATCAAACGGCTCGGAGAGGTTCTTTCCAATTCTAACGGAGCTAGTGGTGTTGCTCAACGTCATTTTACATAGCCGTATAAGTTTTGCTGGGATACCAAATTCAGACATAGCGGCATAAAGTGTGCTTCTAGTCGTAGTGTCAAAAGCAGCTTTGAAGTCGACATATAGGTGGTGTGTGTCGATATGTTTTTCTTGAGTCTTCTCCAGGATTTGACGCACTGTGAATATCTGGTCTAGAGTGGATTTGCCAGGTCTGAAGCCACACTGATAAGGTCCAATCAGTTGGTTGACGATTGGCTTCAATCTTTCACATAGTACGTTTGATAGAACCTTATATGCGATATTTAAAAGACTGATCCCGCGGTAGTTGGCGCAGTTTGCAGGATCACCTTTTTTGTGGATTGGGCAAAGCACACTTAAATTCCAATCGTTGGGCATGCATTCATCCGACCAAATGTTGCGAATTAGCTGTAGCATGCATTTTGATAGCTCTTCGCCACCAGCTTTAAACAGCTCAGCCAGTAAACCA